AGTGAATACCAAGAGGATTTCTCTTGATCTTGTCTGTGATTGCAATTGTAATCATGCACTTCTGTGCGCCGTTATACGACGATAATCTTCTTCAAAGAGTTGTAAGGTTACAGAAATGAATTGAGGAACACTCCTAAGGAAAGAAGAGAACTAAAGCAAAAATCTATGCTTCTCTCATTAACGGAACTCCAAATCTTTGCGAGTACTTTTTGTAAATACTTTTGATGGTATGGAGAATTGGTTATGAGGATGCGATGAAATGTTGTTGTTCATTAGGCTGGGGTTTGTCTGCCCCTCAGGTGGAAGAACGTCATGCTAGTTTGCTTCGGAAGTGCAATTAGCGTAAGGTTGTTGACAGCCTTGTCTGTTGATGCCTAAGGCCACTATAGCCTATCTGGACTTTGCTCGGATTCGGTCCCTTGATCTATGAATCTTCTTCTATATCACTTGCATTGTATTCAAATATACGTTTAGTACAGAAACAACTCCATCTCAACCCTTACACTTTATACACCGGACACATTGTCTAATTTTGACGAATCTCATGTTTTGGTACTCCATTTCAACTTCCACATGTATTCCGGACAGCTAGAAGGGTCCGGAGATACTGGTAGCCTTGCAGAATGGTACAACAAGGATACCAGGGATAGATAGAGTACATCTGTTTTGGAGTTACGCGGGTAAGTCCGCTTTAAGAAGTCTTCTTTGAGAGCTATCTTGGGACGAAAGGAGAATCGGGCATCTCAGTCAAGTGTGATTATTCGACCAGGCTCAATGCTAACCTTGATGTCCTTTCACAGTACGCTGCGGTATATTAATACAGAAAGGGGGGCTGCTGAACGATACAAGTATATATGTCTCCAATGGCATGTATCTGAATTGAGTACCGGAGTGGCTAAAACGAGTATCTCATTCAATTTTTGATCTTCAGAGACTCGGAAGATTGCTACAAATGCTTAGACTTCGATCTCTTGCCCATGTTACCGGTATGCTGGCCTGCTAAAATTGCGAACTAATCGTCTTCTCTCTCTCCTTTGTTCTGCGCCAAAGAATGCTCACGAAACCTCACAATCTGTTGATCCTCTATTCAGATGCAGACATAAGACATGCTCCAATGTGTAGCTATTTGTCTATTCTAGTGTCTTAACCTATATTGAGAATCATGTCTGATCCTAATGGGACTTCTGGACAATACTATACAAAGTTGGTTTTTAATCTGAGAAACCTGTTCCATAGACTTGTTCCATAGACTTGTGATCTCGAGCGAACAGTATATCAACAATCAGACTTTTAATGCAAGTGGTGGTTAATAGTCTCAAAGACCTCTGACGAAAGTCGACATTCCATCAAACAATTTTAGCACATCTGCCTATATCCACCCCTGCACCATTGTAGAGTTGCCTCAATTTTGTTCTAGGCTTTTCTCCTTCAATTGATGAGTCGAAACTTGGCGTTCTAGATATCCTTGACGCATGTCTCTTTAGCATTATGCTTGATGGCGAGTTTTCAGCGGCTGGTAATGATAGCAATATATTGTCTGCCGAATTTTGTTTGGAGGCTGTGGCTTCACTAGATTCATCCTTCATTGCTTGAAGTGGTATATCTACCCGGGCTTCATCTAGGTACGTACTATGGGACCATGCAGACTCCAACCCTGGAAGAAATTGCTCTAGCTCGCGCATTTCGACCCAGGTTATTGTATCTTTGGTCATAGCAATATATAAGTCTTCAATTTTACCAAACCCGTCAAGGACAGCGCAGTGCGTCTTCAAGAAGTTAACATCATAATCGCCGAAGGCCTGTTCGGTTGGAGTTAGTATCGTCGACACAGGCAAAAGAACAGTTCCGGGGCATACTCACTAACTGTGCGTCTAGTTCTCGAAGCATAGGAAGGCCTCTTAGATTTTTGACATCACAGATCTTGGCCACTAGCGGTTGCCAAGCCCTTCCTCGCAGGACTGGCGCAAAAGCAGAACTCACGGCCTCCTTGAAAGAATCACTATTCGTGTCGGACACAACTATCTTTTGATGCAAGCCTCGGGATAGGCATCTTTTGTAAGCTGCCGTGTCCTTTTCAAAGGGGAAAGGCTGGGATGATGTGGGCATAAGGGAGACATGTACAGTCCATGAACAAGTTTCACATCGATCACCCGAAAGATCTCTTTCCGGGAATTCCTGACCTGATGCAAAACCATTCATAGGCAATTTAAAACCCCCTATAGCACCACCTTCTCCAGAATTTGTCGTGTTCTCAACTGCGATCTGCAACTTCGCAGTAGGAGGCGTTGATGCTTTTCTTCGTCGACTCCTTTTTGAAGGCGTGAGAGCTTGCGCCGAGATATTTTCAAGAGCGTCTACTCTATCTTCTACTTTCATTGACGCATCGTCCAACTCGATCATCCTAGCATGAATTCTGTGTACGTCATCCACCAATCCTTCGATCCGATCATCGTAATGTGGTATTCGCTTGTTCAAGAGGCCAACGTTCTGCCAAAGACCGCCGATGCCACGATGAATATTTCGCATCTCAAGTTCGCGTTCCAAGTTCTCTTTTTCCACAAGCTCTTCTAATTTTATAAGCCGATCAAACAAGCCACCTTTCCCTATACGCCGCTCTCGATCTAGCTCCTTCTCGAGAGTACCAATCCTCAACTTCAACGCATCTAATTCTTCTTTACTAGAAGATTCTGGGTCTGAATTGTGATATACTGCCTGGTGTCCGCAATGGCACAAACTGCCTGGAATGGACCTGTTGGATGCAAATCCGACGCACGCGCATCGCAGCTGCTTCGATTCAGGATATAGCAGAATGAATCTGCAACCACCCTTGGGAAGATGTGAATCATCTGTATGAGTTTTGTCGAAATGGGGATCAGACATGCTCGTAGCATCTGATGCTATAAGAAAGTAAAAAACTCCAGGAGGAAACTCGACATCAGGGTCTGAGAAAGTTTATTGCAATGATAATTTGACTCAGAGTGGCTAAAATCAGTTTCCGTCAACATTTGTCTGTTGAGTTTCAGTCCTAATTACTCGTTACACGTTCCAAAATGTCATTGGGGTGCATTCAATTCCATGAGCTGATCCACCTTTTTGTAGTACTCAAAGAGTCCGAAATTCGTGAAAGGTGCTTCATGATATGCGGAACATTCTGGTTCATATTTGATGTTAATTGGTATGGGGTTATCAGTGAACAAGCCTATAAAAGTAAAGGGTGTCCAGGGTCTAAAGATAAGCACCCCTAGCCATTTGACATGTACGACCAACGCGGGTGAAACGAAATCACCTATTGGGATTAATTAAAAGACTCATGCGGGATACTACCGTACCTCCCTCACTTCAATCAACGTTCCTGGTAGGAAAGAAATAGAGTCCAAAAAAGAATACAATCATATCGTAAGACAGATATAGTTATGCAGAAAAGTGGACACTTGTGGGATTGATCTAGATTCCGGAGAAATCCCCACGGTTGTACTAAATTTTGCAAGCATATAGATGAATTTCCTCTGATCTCGGGTATATTGTACTAAAGCAAAACGGTCAAGCGGGACGAACCGCAATACTCTTTTCTTCATTGAGCTCGATACGATTCAAGACTTTTGACAGTCTCTAGACAGTCTCTAGATATTGTTTTCTCCTCTCACCTTTTCAACAAAGAAGACCTTGGTGATTAAGTTACAGGTACAACACGTATATTATCATCGAGACCCTCTTATCAAATTACGCGACAGCTCGAAAAACCTGCCGTGTTGCAACCGCATCGATACCGACCGAAAATCGTCGAGCTTGACGCACTCCGAAATCCCGGAAATTTAATCATATTCTGACCGATCTGAAAGACTACAGTATAAATATGCATGTGGATACGACATTAAAGAACCTCGGCCAAGCACCCCTTATACCATGAACCTATCATCAGATCATTCAAGATATTGCAAATCGAATCACGAATTGTGCAACGCAGTAGGAGAAACGTGGGGTTTGCGGCTCGTAGCCAGTCCCTCGTCTCTCCGATATCGAATGTTGTCTCAAGTGGCACCGATAATTCCCGCAAGGAGATAGCAACTCTACCCCATCCTCGCACACCATACTGATCAAGAATTCGGAAAGCATTGGATGGGTTTTGATTGGAGTGTAACTTGACCAAAGTATGTGATGAGATGGTTTCTTGGTACACTGCTTGGAATCGGCAGGTATGTTTGTCGCAATTTATGCGTGCGACATATTTATCCTGATAAGGTACCCCCCACGTTTTCAGGGTGTTCTTTGGACGGCTTATGTTCAGTACAATCCGAGATAGTTGTTGGTCCACCAGTGATCTTCATCTCATATGCTAATTGCACGTGATCCGGCATTCATCTTTTACCTTTGTCTAATTCAGATGGCAGGGAATTCTAGTGTTCAATCTTCTCTTGATCAAATTACTCATTGTTGTAATCTTCAATTCTGAATGATTCCATATCGTGTGTTATACTTTCACATTGGTTGTCACACGTGGTAGAAATGCCTCCTTCCACATATCTGTACTTTTACAATATCAAACTCCAAGGATCCAAGTGGGTTTCGGCATTCAACTTTTCGATAGACAATATATTTGCTTTTAACCTTGGAGCGTCTCGCACTACCTACCCAATGTCCCTTAAACAAGTTTCATCCTTCCAAACTTTCAAAGTGGCTAAAATGACAAGGACTTTTGCGCAATCTAGATGATGATAGCTCGAACTATGTATGTATACACGAACAGCTTCTCCATACACAAGGTCATGTATATATTAACTTTACCAAACTTCCATTACAACCCTCCTATTGGCCATTGCCGACAAGTGGGGTAGAAATCGTGGGCGGCAAGAACATGACTGTCCCCCAATCAATCAGCAACTGAGATACCTAGCATAATTGATACTTTTCTCTTCCTCTTACTAATGTGTCTCTGATTTTTGAATTTCAATTGCATATATCCAAATTTTACCTATTCAACACAAGTTGTGTCTTACTTTACAATGGGCGAACTAGACGAATTGGTAACTACTTTACTCGGTACTTTTACCAGTGGTATAAGACTTCTCAGAGCTCGTCGCAAGAGACAGACAAACAGCAGTAGAAAGATCGATCATGAAAATTGCGAAGAAACTCTTCTCATAAAGTCATTCAAACAATCCAGATCAGATATCCGAGAGGCATACACGAGGGAATCCATCAAATCTGGCCCCAAATTCTCCAAAGGCGATGGTATGAATCACAACCCTCATATTTGCAAGCTTCACATTCTCATTCCAAGCCAGCAAAAGCGCGCTCTTCACTATCTACCATACTATCCCGACTAAACACTGCTTTCACCTCCGCGGTCGTATTATTTTCCCAGGGCAAAGTCAAGCCCGCCGATCAAGAACTCTTCATCAAACTCTCCAACAAATCCCGCGCGGAAACCATCACTGCCCTCGATAGCCTCTCCAAGCGCTTATCAAAATCTTCCCCATCCCTCGTATCCCGTGATCCCGCAACCCGAAGTCCAAACCATCGTCGAAAACGACATCAAACTCATACTCCCCCTCCACCCATCCCCACCAAACCCACCGCTCTGGGTCCAGCCACAAAAAATGGCTGGATCCGACCCAAACCCACGAAAAAAGATATCCCAAAATCTAAACCCCAAACTCCAAAAGCAACGCTCACGAAATCAACACTGAAAGAAAAGTCAGCGCCCTCGCAATCCTTCACGCTACTAGAAGAGAAACAAGAAGCACTCCCCAAACGCGCAGCGGAAAATCGAAAATCCGGCTTCTCTTTCGCGTCAGATAGTACGAAACTGTAAGTACGATTCCATCGTCTCCTCTTTTCCAATTTATTTTTCTTTTCTTTCTCAAAAATATAAACATCACATCTCCATCTCCATCAATATCTCCATCTCCATCAATATCTCCATCTCCATCAATATCTCCATCTCCACCCCTTAAAAACAACACCACTCACCACCTCCCTCCATCCAGCGGTGAGATCCCAGACTCCAGAATCGCAAGACTACTACCTGATACTGGTACTGGTACTTCATCGCATGATCAATATTCTCGATACTATCCCACCGTGGTAGCATTCCCCTTGGCGCCGTATCAGCCCGCGCCGCGAAAACGACGGTTTGGTGTGCGGAAATTGTGGAAATGTAGACCGGGGGAGGAGGGGTTGGTGTATGGTCATGGTAGTGGGAGTGGGAGTGGGAGTGGGAGTGCGGGGTGAATGGTTGGGATATATCTAGATACCTACTTATTTTATCTCTTGTGTTTTATATCTACTTTGATGGCTGTGTGTACGTGTGTGATGTTTATGATGTTGAAATAATCTGGTTATCCAGATAATGGGTTCTAGATACTTTTACTTGGGACTTTTCATTGCTGTAAGAAAGAAGGCTTTGGTGTTGCGAAAAAGATAGAAGGTTTGCATATGTATCTTTGATTTGCAGATTTCCATAGTCTGCATACCAAATTCCGAATCTTTAGACATAAAATATTTTCAAAAAGTTGGCAAGGTTGGATTATTCTCAGTATATCCAAATTTCAATATCCCAAATCCAAATCAGTCACAGTCGTTATCAGCAATGTCCCTCATAAATCTCTCCCATCCCATTCCACCCCCCCCCTCCCCCCTTCATCCTCCTCAATCTCTCCCCCAACCTCCCAGCAACCCCCCACCTCTCCGCTCCCAGCCCATCCAAAACTTTCCTCCCCTCCCCCAACATCCTCCTCGCCCCCTTCCCATCCCTCGCACACAAATTTCCCACCCCCATAACCAGCGCTCGCATCCCCTGCCCCCTCTTCACAAAAAGCTGGACGAGCTCGTCATCTGCCGGTCGATCGAGTTGCATCGTGCTGGGATAGGGATGATAGAATTGTTCTTCTTCTTCCGAGTCTTCCTCTCTTTCTCTCTCCTTTGATATTCCCTCGTCTCCGTTCTCGGATGCATCTCTCGCACTACTATATCTCTCCCCATCCCTCTCTCTATGATAAACACCCCCCTTACACTCCGCAAATAGGCCATAAGCCCAAAGCGCCAACGTCGCGAGATAAACTGCCTCAGCCTCATAAAACGCATCGATACTAAATCTTCGCACATGCCAAAAAAGCGCGCCTGCGTGAATAATTGCCAAACGTGCTTTATGCTGATCTTCCGTTGCCCATCTCTTTACATAATCGCGTGCTTGAAGTATCTCTCTTTCTTTTCCCATCTCTCGATCTGCATCTCCCAGGTTCGGGTCTCGAGTGGTGTGTGCAGAGGCGAGATACTCTGCAAGTTTCACAATGTGTAGAAAGGGCGTGAGGAGCACCACCCTCGCTAAGTGTAGGTGCAGAACGGTGGGGTGTTCCATGCCGCTTGCAGCTCCAATGACACTATTTGCATGCCAGTGTAATATATCCAAACAATCGCAGGCGGAATTGCGCCAATTTGTATATGTTTGGATGCCTGGTAGCCAGATGGGATGATTCGAGGTGGTGTGCGGGAAGGATAGTTTTGAGGCTGTAGGAGTCCATTGGGTAAGGGGTTGTGATAGGTAGTTTGAAACTTCCCAGGTGCGTCGGAAAAGACCATGGATCAGAAGGATACGAGAAAATTCACCTGTGGAGGATAGCAGTCGTTTTTCGGTGTACATGCGCTGGAGGGCGTTGTGGAGGGTAGAGCTTGCTGCGACGTAATTGTGAGAATTGTGGGGTTGGATGATGGGGGTTGGTAGATACGTACATGAAGAACAGCTGAGAAGTTGTTGCCATTCAATTGCTGATTCTGCTTCCCATAAAACTTCCTGGCACGGTAAAAATACCGAATTATCGTCTAGCGATAAGCTGGGGCGAATTTGAAAGTGGAAGTACCACATGCTATCTAGGAGCTAGGGAGCGTAAGAACTTATCATATGAAGATGGAAATAGAAACGCATACCCAAATACAATAACCTGTCCTTCGAATACTTTCAGCATCATACCATTCTTTCCATTCTCTATTAGCCTGTTCCGTATCATTTGGACTTGTCTGCGACACTGCAATTCTCGGTATTTGATTCGAAGTTTTCCATTCATTACAACAGAAATCGTTAAGATCTCTATGATATGATTTCGCTGCGTGTGACAACTCATCACTACCGCAATACATCATACCTACGCAGTTTAGAAGTTTAATTTGTATCATCATTATCTTCGTACATCTCGAATCCCCATCATTGCTGACTGACATGATTGCACGTCGAAGAAATTCATGCATGGGTTTTGCGTGGTTTCCATTACTATGGTAATGACTTCCTACAGCCGCCATAGCTAAAAGAAAAAGCCAGTGAGAAGCTGAAATATTGAAAGATGGCAGGTGAATAAATGGTAATATTTGATGGAAAGAGTCAATATAGTGAGCTATAAAGCGGCTCAGTGTGTACAAAGATGGGAATCGTGTGTATTGGAATGGTGTAAAATATGGCGAGTTCTCGATGCATGTTTTTTCGAATACATCCTGAATAATGCTGTAGATTTCGTGTGGTAACTGTCTATAATCCGAGGAATGGTCATTGGTATCATCAACTGGAAAAGCAAATCTTCCGTTCAAATTGTCAACCGAGGGGTGTGATATTGATGGACATGAGTTGGCGGTCTCGGATGGAGCTTTTCGAATACGAGGTAATCTCGAACCATGCCCATCAACATAGTATCTACCAGTGCTTTGCGTAGTCAGAGAATAAGGACTTGTTGGAGCACCTTCACTAGATATTGTTGGATTAGGAGAATCATTTGTATGTAGTTGCGCTTGAGTTTGTGGGGGCGGTGTAAAAATGGCTGTATTGGTTGAATACGCAGGTCTTCGGATAGATTCTCCTGGGACGGTAATAGGTGATGAGCCATTCAGATCTGCCCTGTCATCAATCATTCTCACTGCGTCATCATCTAGTTGATAGTCCGGAGCCCAATCGTAAGGTAGCCAGTTGATGGAGGATACATTATATTGAGCCCAAGAACCAGCACTTTCTGGCAAACCTTCAGCAAGACCTGTATCCTGAATATGTAGCTGATGTGAAGCCTGGCTCGTTCCAATCAACAACGAGTTGGCGGCTTCATCAAGATCCATGATTGAATGAAGGGGTAGCATTGAAGGTGAAGTTGATTGATGGTTAGGAGATGTGGCCAAGCTTACGCGAGCATCTTCGGACATTTGATTTTCTGTTGGTTGGTTTGATGGAGAAAATTGGCTGAATGGTTGGTGAACCCCAGAATTCATAATTTGGATATTCATCTGTTGACCAGTAACATCCAGATTCTCCAAGCCAAACTCTGAACGGTAATGACTAATCGAAGATCTCGGGTTCATTTGCGTATTGAGCGGCGAATCAACATGTGACCACGAAATTGGAGATTGCGGACTCGTGATTCCTTCCCCAGTTCGACCATTTTCAACCCAAATCCTTTCATTTGAAACTTTCTCGTATAGCCCATTGGATTCTCGACGTTTTTCGTTGGCCATAGCACCAGACGACGAGGGAAAAGTACACTCAATTGACCTTTTCGCGCATGCTTCGCATGGATTTCCACCACTGCATCTTCTTCTCGCCATTGCACAAGCCGAACAAGCTCTAGCTCCTCTTCCCAGCAGACTTCGTTTTGCTTTCTTGTGAACCAATTCATGTCGACGCAAAGCATCACTTTGATCATCAGCAACTATCTCCGGTCATCCATTGATACACGATCTGTGGATAGAACCTTCCAAACTCACATCCGATAAAAACTCTTTCTACACCCTCTAGCTTCACATCTCAGCCATCCCTCCTTTGTATGACTCTTCTCATGTCTCGTCAAATGTTCCACTCTCCCAAACGTTTGTTCGCAACTCGTGCAACTGAACCTTGCGGTCCTCGCAAATTCTCCTTGCCGCGTATCTTCACTGCCATCTATTGTACCATTAGTCCAATTCTACACATTGACGTACGTACAACATATGTAAATACAAAGCGTTTAATGAATCACACACTCAATTCGACATCCAAGGATCCGATACGACTGCGGTTTCCTCGAGAATCGCCTGTAGCCTGGCTATCTTCCCTCAATTGAGAACCCATAGCATTTCAATGTTTTTTTGGGTGTCGATATTTATCCTCCGTCTCCTAGGTACCTCGTTTTAGCTCGACTAAAAAAACATGACTATATCAACATAAATACCTAATAAGAAGAAATATCGAACATCTCAAACCAAATATCCAACCTTCACCAGCTCGCACCATCCACGTGTGCTGGCCCGTACAACCCAACAAGCGCTATTTCCCCGCATCTCCGCATATCAGATTTCATACGATGGAAATGTAAATGCAAGGGCTTTCAACCTTGTCATGTTGATGATTGGTCGCGCATATAACGGGTGACAAAATTCGGCCAGTAAAAAGACCGAGGTGAAGCTAAGATCTATGGGGTACGAGATCAGTTCACGTGATACTGAATTCTCCGTTTGTCTCTTTTATGTTGCCACTTATTAACAATGCAATCTGTTATATTTCCTTCCATCATTCATTCATTCATTCATTCATTCATTCATTCATTCAAATAAATAAATTGTGTGACTTTATAAGCATCACATTGGAGTTTGATGTATACTCGAGTATCACCACCCTACTAATCTAGCTTTATCTATTATCCTCCTCATTCATTTCTTAAGTCCATTTCCATCCATCTTGTGATACATGTATGCAAGACCAGCTTTGCAATATTTTCCGTCCCTTTCATCCTTCCACATGTCCTTCCTTTATAAATGTCCATATCTTGTGCATATGCCCAGGCCATTTCCCAAAACTCCCCGCTAAACTGCAAAATGTAGCACCGCCCAAAATGCCAAGATATCATCCGATCGTCCCCATCATCATATATATACATACAACCTAATACTCATACACATTATCTCCCATACCTCATCTTCCATCTCTTTCTCGCACCCTTCATTTATCACGGATTGTTTCACCCAAATAGCCCATATCCTCCAAGAAATCCGCTAACGCACTCCCTCCTATTTTCGCGCTGCTTTCTTGAATTCCGTTTGCGAACCCCGAATCACGAGGATAAGAATCATTACTATTTGTTTTTGATATTGGATTTGAAGCCTTGCGAATAGTCTGTTCCGAAGCAATATCTTCATCTGGTAAGCTATATCCTATAAATTTTCTTTTTTCCACCTCGGAGATCATTGGATTATATGTAAAAGTATCGCCCGTTTCTTCATTCAAATCGCTTTCATCATATGAATCGAAAATTGATGATGTATCGCTGAAGCCGAAATGGGAATCCGTTGGTGAATTAAGAGCCGTTGATGCGGTGGAGACAGAGAAGTGGGACATTGGTAGATTCAAAGTAAGGTTTGGAGGAGGAGGTAATGAAATAGGAGATGTAAACGCATCATCTTGAAGTCGTGGCAGTGGCTTGTAAGTATTGGAAGTTGGTGATGGTTGCCGACGAAATGGCGCTGGAGATAATCCGGTGATACTGTCGTTATCTTCAAAGACAAGTTCTTTGAACTGTGTGGCAAAGTTGTCATCATCTTCGCAGTCTTCGGAAATGTCCTCAGGTATACCAAGAGACATAAGACTGTTGTGCACAGAATCATGCGCTCTGGTAAAAGATGATTTTCTAGAAATTGGTTCGAATCGAGTCGGGCTAGTTTGATGAATAGTGTTTGAGTTTGATGAAGAACTACTTCGTGTAGTAGCCTGACTGATATCGGGCTCAGATGATCGCCTTGAAGCGAGTGGGGGAATAGGCGATGAAGGTTGTGATCGGCGGCCGGAAAAAAGTTTTGTTGCCCAACCAAGCTTTCTATCTTTTGCCCAAGGACATGGCTTTTCCGTGACCTCCGCGCCCGAAGACGATAATGAAGCAGGTCGTGCAACATTTGGCTTCGTTGGAGGAGCACGAGGGGTCATAAATTTATCCGCAGGATTCATTGTTTTGGCTTCTGTAATATTTATAGAGTCCATGGAACCACTTCGAAGTCGTGGTGGAGAGACTTCCACTGGGACCCAGAGGATATTAACTGGTTGGCCTGGCATATAAGGACAAGTAGTAGTGGAAGGTATAGCCGTGTCATGAACTTCGATGCCGTCATCAAGCTCATACTAAAATTGTAAGTATTTTTCCTTCAGTGTTTGGGATACTAACATACATAGTAATAGTATGTTGATGCCATTTTCAAACCACCGGTCCTTTTCGAGGAACCGTTTCCATCGCCATCACAGATGATATCGTCAAATGTGTGGCAACCTCGCCATTGCTCACGAGAGCGTCTTGAGTCTCGCTCCATTGGGTATCGTTTGGTGAAATTATCCCAAGATCCGATGAGATGGACTGATTGTGTTCTAGGTGTTGCTTGACTAAATAGAGCGTCCAATTAGTTATTATTATGAGTTAGGTATGGGGGCAGGATGGTCTCTTATGTTCATATTCGGACACGGTCTATTAGACATTTCGATGGGCTTTGCAAAAATCCATCCCATATCTTGGCAAAGCAAGAGCAACAAACTTCCACTAAAGGTGCAGCTCGCATGCCGAAGTTTCGAAGACAACGTATGTCACTAGCAATGCCCAAGCATCTGCACAACAGACGTCATACCAAGCTTGTGACGAGAGTTCATCTAGTGATAGATGATTCTATAATAGAAAGTTCTTCAATGCTCGCGAGAGAAAGATGTCCGCCATGCCTAAGTCGAAACAGGCTATCTTCCGTTGGGCATGAAGCCCAGACCTGGCCGGTAAACTTTACCAAATATATTCCACGCAATGCATGGACCCAAGGCAATGAACGGCTTCCAACAAACAAACTTTCCCTCACTCCCATGATGTTCACTCCCATGATGTATCAAGGGATGATCAATGCGTACACAAAACACGTGATACAATACTGAATTTGAGTTCAAGGAGGAAACAAAAGCGACTACACTTACAACATGAAAGTAATTAGAGTAGTGTCCATGATTTCGGGAGGGTTGGAGAAGAAACAAAGCGAGTTAGATAAATTAGAGTTTTGTAGGAACTTCAACGGCTTCTGGAGCGGTGCATCGCTTGGAATCTTTGAATTTGCGTGGAGATCGTAAAAAAGGCCGGATCTGAAAGATTTTCTGATACTACAATACGTCCGAAGTGTTTACTTGGACCTGGGATCCGGGCGTTCGTCCAATCCGAATCCTTTGATGTTTATTATGGCGTTATGAGAGCCAAACTTTCTCCTTCAATGTATTTCGAGGCGAGCTTTTTGAAACTGTGGAGCCGCGGTGACAGGAATTGGCGAGGTCAAGAGGTATGTCCGTGGTTAATGATAAAGAGGGTTTGCGCAGATGAGAATCCAGATTTTATTGTTGATGGAAAGAATTGATTTGAAAAAAGATTGAAATGTTGTATCATACTGGGAGTTTGTTGAGAGAGAAGTTGTGTATAGGTAGGATAAAAAGTCAAAAAACTAAAATGGGAAAGACCAGGTGATGAAACCTCCAATTCGGAAATTGCTTCAAGTAAAGTAGGAATCTAATAAGATGGATGGCGGAGAGCCTTCGACATAAAAATCGAAGAGATACTACTCCGTACATTAAACAGGATACCCATAGACCACCTGGGCAAAGGGTAGAGTATGTTAAGTATGGAGCTTCAATTGTGTAGTTTTGAGCTATGAATTACTAGTTGACGAGTGGATGCGCCGAGCTGGGTTTATGGGACATCTGGTATTTCAGGTAGATTGTGTATCTTCTTGATTTAAACCATTTAGGAATAGTTTGACGTTACTATTAAACGATATAAAAAAGTCTTCAGCTGAAAGAGAAAAGAGAAGTGAAGGGGGTTGATATGATTTGATATGATTTGATATGGTTGGTGAGATTTATTGAACATTACCTCGCATACATGTATGTATGGTTAAGCGGTCGAAAATATGAGGAAATATGAAGGAAGTCCTTGTACTCTGTACCTACATATGATAGTAAGAGGGTGTGCCAGCCATGCATGGTGGCGTAGATATACTCTTTCTAGAATTGAGGCTTACCGAGGCTTACTGAGGCTTACTGAGGCTTGAAAGTTGGATAGCTGATGAGGATATTGATAGATATTGAGAGGTATTGATAGATCTTGAACAATAATCAATTTCCACTGGAATACTCACCGGGGCAGGTAAGGTTTGTCTTGAAACCGGGAGTGGAGGCTTATTATTATCCAGTATTACCTATTTACATATATACACATACGAACCTAGGTATATATAATATTGGAAGTTTATTGCATAAATTGAACCTTAATGAAACCTGAATGAAGAGGCCTTCCTCTCTCTTCAATGCCTTGCTCTGAACTTCTTGATTCTTTGGTACACCAGCGAGACCAGGTACTCACCACTCACCACCACTCACCACTCACCACTCACCACTCACCACTCACCACTCACCACTCACCACTCACCACTCACCACCACTCACCACCTACCACCTGCACATTCTTTCCCTGGCTTACCAACATTTTTTGCATGAATTTTTTCTATCCCGTATCCATCTTTCCCGTAGATCTTACCTGTCTGATTTTCAATGGAATTTTCTTACAGGCCGAAGATTCCGATTCTCTTGACATCGTTGGTTTCACTATCGACTATTGTCGGCGATCATCTTTGATTGAAAGGATTCAACATCTCTCTTTGGGCCTCTTTGGGTCTCTTTCGGAGCCTTTCTTCCTTACCTTAGGGGTTGATACCGGAGTAGAAGGTGGGCCATTTCCGGTGAAGTAGGGTTTATCCTTCCTTCGTCTTATTTTTTTTTGGTCCGAGTACGTACAGCTAGAGAATACAGAATACAGTAGGGTGGTGTTTAGTCCTCGAGAGTTCATTTGTACCACTGCAGGGGAATCGAATGTGATTGACTACATGGATATGGCCCATGAGCCGTGCGAGAATGATTGGAGGAGATGAGAGGAGATTCCTACCACTAGAAGTGACAGAACCCCTTTTTGCAAGCCTCTGCAGCAAGATTCAAGACGTCCATGTCAAAGTTTGGTAAATGCCTTTCTATGGCTTCCTCAACCTCTCTCGGCGGCGTCAAAATGTACCTTTACCCCTCATATCCAACGACCAGATTCAGAATATTGCAGATTCTACCAACGGTACAGCAGTGTACAGGACAAGCCATTGACCATAGCTTTGTTGGTCTTTGCGTGCAAAGCTTACAAATGCATATTGATATTGGTATGTACTGTAACCACAAAGTAAGAATACACAATACGAGATAGCATGGGAATTGGAATTGGAATTGAAATTGAAATGAGATTGAGATTTTTTGTTAAAATCATTATTGAGGTCTCTGGGTAGATCGGTTCAGGAATCTTTGGGATCGATAACCGATATTGGAATGGAAGCAAGTCGAACGGTCGGACGGTCGGAATCCCAATGAGTTTGTTTAATTCTTGATAATACCTTTATCCCATGCCGAATTGGAATTACATTATACTCCGTAATAATAAGATTTACAAATTTATTATACGTTTATTAAGTTTTATCACACGTTTATTATAAGTTTTATCACACGTTTATTATAAGATTAGATTGCACATATACGTACTAGGTAAGCGAATCAAAAAAGTCCGAAACAAATGACATATGCCTTACCTAGGAAGGTGTCGTACTTCGTACAAAGTATGTGTTAGTGGAGCTGATTTGCCAAAGTGACGGGAATTCCACAGCTGCAGCCTTACCTCTCAAAATAAACCAAATCGGGCCAGCGTATTCTTACTTTGCGTAGTACCTACCTGCTTCCACTAAGATTCACGAAACACCCTCATCAACGAGATATATGCTCATCGACGATTACTACAAACATGCATCTTCGATCGATCAAGAGACCGCCTACACTCTCAGCACACATAAACTGGACAACATATACGGAATGAGTAAGACGATCCTGATGGCTGAAACTTTCATGCCGTCCAACCACCATGATACCGTATGCTCAGCCATATTCTTCACGAAAACAATTGATTGCGCATCGTAAGCTTACAGTGTTGCTGACGAACCTACCAACCTTCATCAAATGATAAACATCGTGCATCGTACCACCAATCACCAAATGTCCCAAGACTCGGTATTCGTCAAGCCTGCAGACTATCGTCCTCGGGATATCCTTCTAGGGTGAAGCATGATGTACCCCAGAAACACGGGAAGCGCATCACAGATCATCGCTGGGGCGTACGAGAGGAAGCAAAATCTCAAAGTTTATTTGGATATCGAAGCCGGAGCTATGGATTTTTGAGTTCTCTCCTGGGAACCATTTTAAACTTTGTCCATTCAAGTTTTGAAACGTGCATCAACCTCAATGGTTCTACTACCACGTTGTCTGTGCCTTACGAGCATGTGCGTACGAGCAGGATGAATTGACAGCGCTTAATGTCACCATACCCTTCTACCATATCATTGACAGTTTTCTTCATTTATTCATGTTCTACAAACAAAATTATTTATGATGATTGTTACGGCAAAGTGTCCTGACAATATTCCTTCCTCGTGTCTTTGTTTCCATTTCATTTCCATGATTTCGAACCACGCGTTTTCTTTCTGGCCACCTTCTTTCTTACCCGTACTTCTGGTTTCAAATTGATCTGATGTATAGTATGATGACGTTGGAAATCGAGAGCATGTTAATCAGATGGCAAATAGTTTCATGTTGGGTGCTTCTAAATGTCCGAGACTGTTGTGCTCCCGCGCCAGGTTTCTGGTTGAACTTAAAACGTACTTTTCAAATACAGAGGTCCTAAAAGAGGGCCATAATGCGCGATTCTTTTTTTGTACTTTCCAAATACCAAGTTCTTGAAAGAGGGCTATGATGCGTGATCCTTTTTTTAGAGACAAAGTCTATTTCAATCGGCTTATATTCTCAAACAATTTGAATTTAGCCCTAAATCATTCGTTTTGACCTTCAATTTATCGGTCTGGACCGTCATACAGCTATGGCGGGCCGGCTTAGACCTCAAGCCCATTTGCTTGAATGCTTGGAACTTTTATATTCTCTAACGGGGACAGAATGAAATGGGCATAGACTTGTTCTCTAGGCTAATAATATTCCCCGGACAATACTCCCCGGACAGTATGACTTCAGTTATCGAGTTTGACTGTGATCTTATCTAATCGCCGATTAACATAACAGTCTCCATCAATCCGTGGGACAATGAAGGTAGGGGACTCTACTGTATTTCTAGTATGCAAGCAAGGTTACGCGAAAGAAAACATACTGAGGTTTGGTGTCAATTTTCGATGGAGAAGCTAGAGTTGACGTAGCATTTCAGGTCTTGTTAGCATCAATTCAGTGCAGCTGAAGAGCTATTAATTTTCCCTTTGCGATATTTCCTGTCCGGCGTCTTTCAACAGATTTGTATTTCATCAATCGCAAACATCTGGCTTCCACTACTCAGTCTTTTACTCTGTTCCGTTAATCATATGAGACATCTCGTATCTTACTCCACGTCACCTGTTTCTAATGATGTTCTTTCTCCCCTGAACGGACTAAAAATATCTTCGTTCAATGCTTTCCATTTCAAGTGATACACCGGTGAGTTGGTGACATCACAAGAAAGGAGGCTGTTGGGGGTTTTGCCATGTGCTTTAAACTACTATTCAACTGACAAGAATTCATTTTCATTTTCATTTTCATATACAAAGGAATACTCACACCCCTTATCTCCGTACCGTATTTTTCAGCATTTTCGAGACTCGTTCTAGTCTCAGGTTGATGAGCCAACATGATAAAAGCTCAATATCAACCCACCAATCAATCAATAGTCATTTTCTAAAAGAAAGTTTTGTTGCATATCTGAAAAAAAAATTGCTTGTTAACCATGGTTGATAATCAAAAAAAAATGTGTTTGAAAAAGAAAATTGAGCTTGTTAACCATGGTTGGATTATAGATGTGCAACAAAAGAATCTGGTTTGACCTCCTGTGTAAGAATCACCTGACGTTTAATTCAAGACGTTCAAACTTTACTAGTAGTAAAATTCTTCCATCGATTCAGTCTATCTATACCTACCTACCTAATACTACGCTGACTAGGTATGTATTCAAACTTTACAAGTCCGATTTCTAAACCACAAGTCACAGTTCAGTATTCAAGGGGATGGACTCAATTTCTCAAATTGAACCTTTCAGCACAATTCAAGTTCCCTAAGAGATCAGATTGAATCCCAACAAGAAAGAGCTTTCATTTTCGAGATTGAATCTCAACATTCGAGTCATCTCGAAGATCAAATTAATTTCCAATATGGAACTGTACTCGGAGATTGATTTCCCGGCTCTATATAAATGATTATCGTATTTGGCTACCTAGTATGTCACCGAAAGAAATTTTCATCTCTGGGGTCTCGCAACTAAGTGAATTGTTCGGTGATGTAGAAGTCAATAATAACATACAAATCGATTTACATATTACAGTGCTTGTAAGAAGTCAGGAACCCACATTTATACATCCCCCATCAATCAATACTTTATACAAAGAGAACGAGCTCCATCTCTCCAACCACCTTTCACCCAAAGAGAAATCTCAAATCTCAAATCTCAAATCCCTCTCCGCAGGGGATACCCGTCGATAGAAAATATAAACTCCTCAGCTCATGGTTGTTTGAACTCTTTCATGATAATATCCTCCCTTCCCTTCCAGAAACTCGCAGTCTGATTTATATCTTGCGAGCGAAGGAATGTCTCGTTTACTATGTACATTTTTCTATTAGGTAAAATCGAGGATGTCGTTTCGACTTTCTAGATTGGGTTTCGCGAGGGGGTTGATCTTCTTGCTGGCGCTTTAGTTGGTGTGTAGGTACTAGGTAGGTAGGGGTAGGGGTAT